AGTAGTTATTAAAAACTGCAAATAAACACTCCGAAAACTCTTAAGATGTGGTTTTCTGCTGTATAATGTGTGTTTAAAAGGCTGAACTTAAGGGTTTGCGGAACAAAAAATGTCATAGCCTCTACTTTATGCTCTTGAGCCTAGAGCATATTTATACGAGTGTGAAGAGGTTAGTTTAATACTTAATCACATTTAAAATATGTCTAAATAAAACAATCATGTTTTAATTAAAATCTTAATTTGGAACTCTAGTTAACCTATAAAAACAAAGTGATCTTATTTGATTTACGTGTAAATCATCTACATTTTCAATGATGCCACGTTTAATTAAGTTGTAAAGCCAATTGTTTCGGTAGACGTTCCCTCTTCATTCTTAATTTAATTAACAATCATTTCCATACAGAGGAACAATCGATATTGAAAATATCTACAATAAAGTTCAATAACAAACTCGTGATAATAATTAACATCTCAGCCGTTGACCAGCATTGTTTCGAGTTGAGAATATCATGCGCTATCTGGTTGTGACATGTTATTCATTCAATCGCGGAACGTCGCAACAATGGGATCGTCCACAGATATTAGAACAAAACGGCAAACGTTATGGATTAAAACATAAAAGAACTGAATCACTGAATGGGTTGCAGTGGCAACTGGAAGTATAATGTGTACCGATTTGCGCTTTTTATAATAAATCAATATGAGTAAATACGAACAGCTGTTTGGAACAATAGGCAAGCACCCACAATGCACTACGAGGAGTGGGGGTAAATCGGGCAGCCATGGATGGGTTCTCAGTCTCTTAGTCATTGTCGTATCCTTCTACCCTTCCGACGTGTATTAGCTGATTTATCAAAAATCGATCGTGCAAATTAAATTCAATCCGCGGTGTTTGTCCGGACAAAATTATTTCCATCAATCGTTAAGCCTATATCCCGCAGGGATATATTTGCCGCGCGTGGTGTAAATAAAATCAGTTTTTGAACAAGAAAGTGTTAACGTAACTTTACCGGCAAACACAGAAGAAAATTCACGTTCGTTTGAACAAATCGTTCAATCGCGTCTTTTGGAAAAAGCTCAGCTAATTACGTATTCCCCTCCCTCCCCTAAGTGTTTGTGTCTTTGTAGGACGTCCGAAATTGTAAGTAGTTAATGTTATTTATTGTTATATCTATAGTTTTCTGTGAGTCGCACATGTGTAGTACTTTCCTGTCATAGTTTGTTATATCCTGTTATATTAGCACATGGTTTCAGGTTCAAGTCCTCATTAGTATTTTTAATATCCATTTCTGGTACATCAATCTACATTGTTTAGTTAACTGTGATTTTCTCATTATATATGACTAATTAAATTGTATAGGGTTTTTTATTTATATTGAATGTAACTTGTAAATTATTCTATTGACACAAATTCACAACAGAGTCATTGTTTAATTTTACTGAGATATTAAATCAGAGATTATTTAAGAGTGCCACAGACAGACAGCTTTGTGTTAGTAAAAAAATCGGGAAAAAATCCGTCTTGTACATGGATACAGACAGCTTTGTATTAGTAAAAAAATCAGGAAAAAATCGGTCTTGTACATGGATACAGACAGCTTTGTGTTAGTAAAAGAATTGGGACAAAATCGGTCTTGTACATAGATACAGACAGCTTTGTGTTGGTAAACAAATCGGGGAAAATCGGAAAAAATCGGATCCATCAAAACCGGATCCAGCCCAAAATCCTGAATTTTTTGGATCCGATCGGGTGCCGGTTCTAGCTCGGATCCGGTAGTCCGATATCCGGATCCGACCATCACTAATTTATTTACTTTTTTGTAAAGCTGTCTTGGCTATCTAGCTTTTCATAAGACCAATGTTAAGAATATTAAAATTTAATATGAAGTTTTTGAAAAACTAATCTTTTCAGAACAGTGGCTAGCATGAATATTGTTTTTAGCCTGAAACTAATTGTTTTTATTACAGATTCGTGGTAAAAAAGAAAACCGAACGATTATTTTATCTGTAAATTTAAACGAAGTAGATCGGGTGCTGGGTCCGAGCCCGCCAGGGGTATCTGGGGATCTATCGCTCTGGTTATCTCTGGTTTCCCAGCAATGGGTAAGGCCTCGATCGGGCAGCGGTGTAAATGGGAGGTTGGGGTTCCCCCCGTCAGCGTGCTGATGGTCCCCTTCCTCCTGGCTATTGATGGCGGGTTCTGCCTGTCAGGGATGAGATAGGTCCCGAGTGTTGCTTGCACTAAATGCGTCGGGGCGCTCTACTATGGACCTCTAGGTTCCGACCTAGTGGAACCCAGGTGGAGTGACGCTTAAACAAGCAGCCGGAATCCCTGGTTAGGATTGAGGGGCAACCCTCTTTCCGAAGGGTCTGCTTCGGCAGCCGGCGAGCCTGATGACCTTAAGTCATCCGCCCATGATGTGCTATAGGTTGATGCGTAAGCTTCGGCCTACATCATGGGGCCCGGGTATGTCCTGAAGGATAGGTACCGGGTAAGCAGTCAGGGGGCTTCGGCTCTCATGACAACAAATGTAATGTAAAAATGTAAATGTAAATTTAAACCAGAGACAGTAGTGATGAGTCTAACTTCAGCACTTGGTTAAAAGACCAGAGTGACCATTTTATTTCACAAAACTTAGTTTTATTTGCTCACTTTTATATTTTTGGTAACTTTTAAACACAACAAAAATGTTTTTCTCCTTGTAGTAAAATATATATTTAACCCTCGTGGTTGATTCATAAAAAAAATTACTGGCATAGAAAACAGTTATAGGTACTAATATATTACAAATGGAGAGCAAACTGGTGGAGTGTAAGACTTTGGTCCTCAAAACCCAGGGTTCATATCCTGCCAATAATCAATAGACTTTATCCTTGTTGATAAAGCCACAACCTCCAGGCCTAGCCCAACTAAAGTAATGTATAAAACAATCCCAGACTATAGCTTAGTAAAATATGTATAAATTTTTATACTAGTACTTTTTTTAAATCGTGCCATGATATTGCTGTCAAACTTGAAATTTATTGACATGCGAATGAGGGTCCATTTCCCCACCGTATCGATCACATACAGTTAGTTGTACAAGTATAGTCTCACTTTGATACTTTGTGCACGGAGTAGACCATAACTGTAGTTGATCTTGAATTGAATAGTAGGGGACCACCACGTTCATAGTGGATACATTTTCATTAGTAAAACAAATAATGCAAATGAGATGAGATGCGATGGAACTGTTGTATTTCTGAATGTTATGTATATAGTGAGGTTTAGATACATTTTTATCGTTCATCATAATATTATATATAAAGTGTGAGGAGATCTGATTTGAAGGAGCTCAACCTTCTTACTAAGTCAGCAGCTGCTGAAAAGGTAATTACCCTTGTGCAATAAAAACCTCACAGTCGAATCGCAGTGCTAAGCGAAAATCTCATTTGAGAGCAAGAGGGTCAATGTCGAAGTAGGCTACTGTAAAGATTTTCAAGAGCACCTTTTAGGGAAGATTTTCCTGATCGTATATTTTGCGTCACGATAGGAATACTATGAACTTCTTTAGAAGAAGAATCTATTAGTTCAAAAGAAATTCAAGCCAGTTTATGAACATCACAATCCAAATGCATTCAATTGATTTGGACTTTTAACCCTTCCCGGACGGGTGACGGATATATCTGCCTTTAAGTCTTTGGCGATAAAGGACGGGTGACGGATATATCCGCTTATGGTTTTTGATGTTCCGGACAGGAAAGGGATATATCCGCCTTCTCATCAGACAGACTGGCAGATGCTTGAGCAGTAACCAGATGTTTCGCGGTACCAAGGCGCCACTTTCCTGCTCTCTCTCCCGCACTCCCCCCTCTCTCACGCGCCTACCCTCTCCCACTCCTCACCCTCTCCCCTCGCACCACCCACCTCTCCTACGCTCCCCACTCGACGTTTCACACTCAACACTACTTCTTTCTGTTCTTTTTATTTACTGTTTACATATTGTTCTTTATTTATTGCCTAACGTTGTCATGGTCATATCTTCAAAGACGGGTGGTGGATATATCCGCTGCTTTTCTACTCATCCGCGGACGGGTAGCGGATATATCCGCATATTAAAAAACGAGTAAAAAAATTATTTTGACAGTATGAAGTGTTCTATTGTGTTTATTTTATGTATACTTGTATAACAAAAGACAAATAAGGAAAATTAATTTTTATTTTTTCCTGTTCTATGTCACGATTTCGCCCGTCCGGGAAGGGGTAATAGTAGGGTATCGAGTTTGAGCAGTTTCATGTTTAGCTGGGCAACAATTTTGGTTTTTAAGGCTGCTATTCGATGCAATTTTAGAATATTTTTTGTGTGGTTTCTGTCAAGTATCGCTAGTAAACCTGTAAATTTTTTTTAGCTAATATATATTTTAATGATATTTAAATAGTCTGCAAGAGTTTCAGTTCTAATTAGTAGGCCTATATATTATGGTTTCATTGAAATAAATGTATACAAAAATACATCAAAGTAATAACCCTGTGAAAATATTTTAAAATACAATCTTCCAGCTTGATGGGTTTCATTTCCAAATCTTGCGCACCTTTCTTGATGAAAAACATTGAATAAACTAATAAACATTTAAAAAATCAACCCAGTTGCTATATTAATTCACTCTCTTTGCCAAAACTTGAACATGGAATCAATGTTCACCCCTTAAAACCGTGTTCCAAAATCCAATCTGCTGGTTCACAATTCTGTTTGAACAAATTTCCGTTTACACGAGTCCAAATTTCATCAAAATCGTGTAATTGTTACTCGAGTTTTCAAGCTTAAAACTGACACGCACACATATTAATAAATTAGTTTAAAGATATAGGCCTAGTGTTTTTGACCTTTGGAGACATTAAAACAAAAAAGTAAATCGGTCTTATCATGAGACTTAATCCTTGTAGGACAAATTCACCAAAATTTGAACACAATAGCTTGTAAATATAGGTGAGGTAAGGGCTAAAAAATACATTCTGAACATAAACTAATCACCACATAATTTTAATTGCAAAAGTTTTTGGTATTAGATATAAATACTATTAAGTACTGTAAAACATAACAAAACCATAATAACTAATCAAACATTTTCATTTGTATATATTAACTGACATTTCAAAAATTACTATGCCTTTAAAAGGCCCACATTCTATTATTTCATTTAGAAGCCCTGCTTAGATAGAAAACCATACCAGCTTCTTTGGTTTGGTAGTATTTTAATATGTTTTCGTTTTCTGTATTTTGGTGGGAAAATCCAAAGTCAATCAATATAATTTGAATACTATATAAATATTTAATTGATTTTTAAAATTTAGGAGACTCACACATATCTGGCTTTTAACTGGGATTTCTTCATGAACATTTTTAAACAAAACCTGCCTAAGATATGGAGTTATGCTTCAATACTCCCATGGGGTTTATAATAAGCATACCAAGTGTTAAAATATTCCTTACAGATCCGTCAGTAAAAAGTGGTGATTAACCACAAATGTTAGCGTAAATTTAGTCTAATCTGTACTCTCATATTACGTTTTTGTAATGAGCATTTCAAACTATGTTTAAAATATTATACTGTACAAATTTTTTTACATTTTGAGTAAAACTATATTATTTGGCAAAAGATATGTAAGCTAACTGCGCTTCAAATAGATGGATCAATAGATTCCTTTTTATCAATGGTAGTTATTCCAACTGCATTAAAACTAGATAACCAAACATGATATCGCAAAAGCACTTTTGAAATATTTTAAAATACAATAACACATTATTTACTACATCAAATTCTCAATGGGAAATCAACGTTGATGCATGTGTTATGTATCTCGTTTGGAATCTTCCAATACCTTTTTTATATAGCTCTACCATGCAATGGGTGTTTGAAATTACAGTGTTATTTTCTAACCAAGGTTAAAATACAGTAAGGTGCCTCATATCTGGCTTTTGTTTTACCGTTCCTCGGTTTATCTGGACACATATAGGAAGCCAATAGCAAAACGGCTTAGAGTCAATATTTCCCATGTCTCACAGATGTTTAGAAGCATGTATAAGTTTCTGTGTCTCAAGTGCTTTTACGGTTTATTTGTTTGTTTACATTCTAAATTCACTGAAATTAACTACTCAGTTGAACTATAGTAGGCCTAGTCTCTGAAACGTTGTTTGATTATTTCAGAGCGGTTAGTAAGTCTTCAATTACAGTAACATTAATTTATGTTACCTATCTATTCATTTGATTTTTTACCTATCCATTTTTTCTTACAAGTAAACGTTCTATTGGTTGAGCAACGTTTGTATTTTTTTCAAAAATTATCCCAAAAGCGACTAATAAGTTACTTATCTTAACACTCCAACTAACTCTCCTCTTAAGAGACTTAACAGGTTAGTTCTTCTGGCCAGTGTCTCGGACCAGAGCCCTGATAAGACTGGATCTACTGTACTGGCAATACCACAGCAAACCTGCAGACTACCAGTACAAATCCAAACCAATATAACAAAAATATAATCTTAGTATGAATAAAATTGGTTCAAAACAGTCAACTTTATTATACAGCTTATAATCAAATAAATACATTTGCTAAATTTTATTAAAATACAAACCATAAACAACAAATTTTCAATTATCCATTTATCGTCCTTAAGGATATAACATGGGAGACATGTACTGTGTTAGGTTGTACTTATTTTGAGTAAGATTAAACTTTTTTCAAAGTTATTACTCCTTCAACCAATGCTGTTTAAAGTAAATTGACAAAACTTTGAACAGCTACACTTTTTAAGTACATTATACAGGGTTTCTCACCTAAAGTGAACCAATAGCGAACTTTTTTACTATAAGATATAGAGTTAACTTCTTCTGGGGCACTCCCTTTTACTTTTTAAGATGTTTTTGTGGATGGTTTCAATTTAAAAATATGTTTGCCATTTTCCAATATGGCTGACAACTTTGTTATTCCTTATGGAATACCCCGTATTTTATGATTGTTTTAGAATTTGAATGCAATTAATCCTAAAATACAGGGTATTTTATTTTAAAAAAATTGGTCGGCCATATTGGATAATGGCGGACATGTTTTTAAAATGCAAAACCACCTCAATAACCATCCTAAAAATAAAGGGGAGTGCCCCTTAAGAAGTTAACTCTATATCTCATAACAATAAAGTTAGCTAGTGGTTCACTTTAGGTGAGATATTCTGTATGCAGAAAAACAGAAATTCCCGCATTAAGTGGTTTCACTATAAAAATGATGTGTTTATAGTCCGCAAAGACAAATATTTCGCTTTTCAAATTATGTTTCTAACTACTAGGCTGTGACGGATCATCATAACTTTGACTTGGTGACTGACCCTATGCTGATGAACGGTTGTACGAGGGGGAACAAACTTTGACTGCTCTTGAACTGTGTGATATTGTCAATCTTGACAGCCTGAAACACAAATATAATGATTGGTCAACACTGAGTTGCACAGACTCTTACAGTTAATTAACACATTTAGATTATAGATAAAACTGAAATAAGTTGAGAGTTTTTGATACACTATTTTTTTTATTTACATAGTAACAATTATAAGCTTAAAACAAAAACAAATCAAATTCTATCACCTGACATTTTGATATATTAATTTAATCCATGCCTATGGCAATAGTCTAGTCAAAATATGAAAAAACACCCCTTAACCTTAAAAAAATTGCTCTAAAAGGTTTTTTTACGGTTTTCATTTCCAAAAAGTATGTTGAATTACATACTAAAAGTCTAATAAAATCGGAGTCTCGGAAATTGGGTTTTTCCAATATGGCGTCCAAACATTTGAAAAAATATTAAACCTTACTATTTTCCCTGTAAATTGTCTTCTGAACCTCCAATTTAGACCGGATTTGGTACAAACCTTTGAAACTGTATTATCTATAAACTATTCATGATTTAAGATAAATAATATACAGTAAACGTGTTGTATGGGGTTGAAAATAGGTAAAAATCTGTCTCAAGTTGTTAGTAGTAAATAACTTATTTCAATATTGGTCACTATAGGGAACAAAACTTTTTATCTCTAGTCTGTGCTATACCCATGTTGTAAATCCTTAAAAAATATATGCAATTTAGCATTTTTAATCATTAAATTATTTTACGTAGTGGTGGGATAGTTATAAAAAACTATGTAATTATTATGGAAATTCTGAAAATTACCATATCTTGATTGTTAATTGGTACGCTTGGATAACAATTTATCATGGCCTGTATCGTCTCCACAGATACAAACACACACATATTTGTCATAAGCGAATTCTGTGTTGAGCCAAGTAATAGAATTTGTTTCAGTTCTTTTTTTTACGCTCATTCAATTCTTTTATTTTGTAATAGTTCACAAGTAGTTTATAAAAAAATTTTTATGTATAATGTGTACAGGTTTATTTTGGCAATCCTGCTGTTAATCAGATGTTTTTTTGACTTCATATGATTCCAATCGTATTGTTGTTCATGTTTACAGTTATTTAGATCAAATTTAGTGTAGTAAAAATATGAAATAAAACCCCTTAACCTTAAAAAAAATTGATTTAAAAGATTTTTTGATGGTTTACATTTCCAATAAGTATGTGAAACAATATACTAAAAGTCTAATAAAATCGGAGTCTCGGAAATCGGGGTTTTTTTCAATATGGCCAAAATTTCCAAATTTCACTAAAATATTTCCATAGACAAGCAAGCTTTAACACTTTATTTATTCTCCATAAGAATAACATGGTCATTTTGAATGTACATTTTGTTATTTTCTCCGTGACCGTTAGGCATACAACAACGCTTCTGAATACGAAATTATTTGTTTTTATGATCTCTTCAAAATGGTTTGGAAATAAATTGCAACTTTTTACAGTGAAAAATGGGATAAAAAATAGATCTTAAGCATACTCAATTTTTGGGCTTAACCTAGACACAAATCTTAAATATACACAAATCATAATACAACAACTTTCTTCAGGGTTATACGTTTTTTAGACCAGTGTCACTAATGTAACCTGGACATTCTAAAATAAAAATATTTTGTCTTATGGTCTGGCAATATATGGAGGAACGCCCAAAAAATTTAGATTCAGTTCTGAAACTCTAAAAATGCTATAAGAATCATGTTATACTTACTTAGACAAACGATAACTGTAAAAAATCAATTTTCAAAACTACACATTTTGACTGTCTAATCAATAAATATGTACTATAACTAGTGGCCTGTATTGGGCATAGCCCCTAATTTAGACTACAATAAAAAACCATATATAAAAAGACAAATATTCGAAATATGTTTTTAAAATTATCAATTTTATGTTACTTAAAATTAACAGCGGTTTTTTTTTATATCTTAGTTTTCCTTCCGTTGGAGTCGTATATTAGTTGCTCCTGATGTGTCAGTGAAATACAATTGTAAAATAATGATTTAATCAATAACACAACATAACAAATGGAAACGTGCACACGGTTTGTCCATTCATATGAAACTAGAAATAAAATTTATATGAATTTATCAATCTCAGCTTCTATGAAAAACTAAAAAAAGGAAACCTTCATGAGATCAAAATTTTTGAATCATTTTCCTACCAAATTAAAAAGTAAAATAAACCAAAATTATTTCATAAATCTAGTGAATCAACTGCTAAAAAAAAGAAAAGAACTATTATTCATTTGAAGAGTTTTTTCAATTAATGTAAAAAAAATCATGTTGAGATGCTCTGCTGGAAAAAATAAACAATAAAAACGATTCGATGACCCAAAGTGCCGCACCAGGGATTCTTTTAAGATTTGTTCACTGCAACTACTCAGTGGCTGCAAGAATTTGCAATGCTCCTGCAACAAAGTATGGGTTACCTTGTACTACAGCTTGTGGACTTTACCAGCTTGGAGAACAATGTGACAGTTCGTAGAGTGATCATAACAGTGTACTGTACAACTTGATGAGAAATATGAATTATTATTTGTTTACTGCTCTACTACTAACCACAAGAAAGTGTGACTATATTATACTCTTACTAATATTATAAATGTGACAGTTTGTTTGTTTGAAGTTCAATCACGCACTGGTCGGATTGGGCTGAAATGTGGCTTTATGATAGCTCAGATTCCCTATTAATACAAGCCTATTCTTATCTCAAAAAATCCTTTCGGGCTAAAAATTTATAGATATTTATTTAAGTAAACAAAATATGTTTGTTGAATTTTAGCAAGCTTGTGATCTTTATTTTAAGACCTATTATTGAATTGTTCAAGCAAAAAATAGTCATAAATTAAAATACCCCCGCCGCAGCAAACCTGCACCCTAAGCGAATTTCAATTAGCCTGATTGAATTTACACTAAAATATCACATTAAAAATATCACATTTATTCCCTATTTTTAAATATCACTACTTTAACTAGTACTTCGGTTTGCTGTGACAGGGAAGGGTAAAAAAGTGTTTTTAGTAAAATGTTAAATAGTTTAGTATAAAAAAAATGCATTTTCCAAATTTGATAAAAATATATTCATATGCAAGCTAATTACAACAAGTTTTTTTATTCTCCGTAAAAATAACATAGGAATTTTAAATTTAATTTTTTTTGAATTTTCTCCGTAACTAGGCATTAGGCCCATGACAACGCTTCATTGTACTAAATTGTTTTTTTTTCTGAGCCCTAAAATGGTTTTGAAATAAATTGCAAAATTTTACGATTTTAGGGTCAAAAATGGGGAAAACCAATTTTTACCCCATACAACCCCCCATAAACCCCTGTTCCCATGGTCCGATCATGCTGGTTCGCGAACTCGTTCAAATAAATGTATGTTTACATGTTTGTACCAAATTTCATCGAATTCGGACCATTTTTGCTTGAGTTATTGTGCTAACGGACACATTTGACCAAAATATTGGGCGCCATCTTGAATTTTGGACTTCCGAGACTCCGATTTCATTAGACTTTTTTTCCTGGAAAATACACATAATTCTAAGTAAAAATAACCAATAAAACAATTTAAAGCAATTTTTTTAGGGTTCTCGTACGGATTGACTTGACTACAAAACATCCCTACTACTTTTATTGCAGTTTCACCACGATAATTATTAGTCATAATATAGCTTGTACCTTTGCAAATTATATTTCATTAGAAAAAGATTTCCCCCAAAAATTGTGATAATGCACAGATGAAGTGATCATGACTTGGCAAAACATCACTTGTTACTACTGAGCAATGATTATACTGAAGCTTACTCGATACATTGTAGTAAAGGCTAAGTTAGCAGTGCGGAATGTGGGATCTGTTATGACGATTAGATTAAGGTAGATTTCCCATTCTTATGGAACAGCTGAAGCATAGACTAACCAACACAAGTAACTTCTCATCCCATTGTAAATTTTGAAGCACATTTTTCGTGTCTAGTTCATGTACGGTGACACTGGGCGCTAGTGTCAACGAAGTTTTGTTTATATTATTTTAGGGTAAACTTATTGATTTGTGCTTTACTGTTTGGTTATATAACTAGGGGACAAGTTATTGTTTATGATTAGATCGTATTATTTTTCTAAACGAGGTTTTAAATTACTGTAATAACAGGAAACAAATTCTAAACAAAACACGACCTCTACATAAACCGTAAAAAAAAAAAAATGCTATGGGAAGGTAAGGAAACAGGTCCGTGACGTAGGAAGTGGTAAAGGAAATACTGTAATAAAGGCGAGCGGTCCGGAGTGTGGGAACTGATTATGACGATTAGATTAAGGTATCTACAATCCTAAAATGCTATGGGAGGGGAGGGAAACAGGTCCGCGACGTAGGAAGTGGTGAAGGAAGTAGTGAAGGCGAGCAGTCCGTAGTGTGGGAACTGTAAATGACGATTAGATTAAGGTATCTACAATCTTAAAATGCTATGGGAAGGGAGGAAAACAGGTTCGAGACGTAGGAAGTAGTCAAGGCGAGCAGTCCGGAGTGTGGGAACTGTTTATTAGGATTAGATTAAGGTATCTGCAATCTCAAAATGCAATGGGAAGGGAGGGAAACAGGTCCGCGACGTAGGAAAAGGTGAAGGAAGTAGTAAAGGCGAGCAGTGTGGAGTCTGGGAACTGGAAACCAATTGTAACAGTTAGATTTATGTATCTGCAATTGAAATACTGAAATGCTATGAGAAGGGATGGAAACATGTCCATGACGTAGGAAATGGTGAAGGAAGTAGTAAAGGCTGGCATCGCAGAGTGGGGGAATGATTTTCTCCGAGCAAAGCTCGGTTCCCAGGTACTGGTTATATAATTCCAAATGAATAACATTTAATTTTGTAGTTTTTAGGGATTGCCCGTTTAACCGACCTTTTGAATGACCCGACCTAGGTCCGGTCCCATTAGGGTCAGTTAAAAAGGAGTCTACTGTACATTATTGAATCAGTATCCATATACATTATTGAATTTGTATCCATAT